TTACCATACACTATAAAATATTTAACGCCCTATTGTTGGGTATTTAGGTGGCTAATATGTTTTTATTGCCATATCATATTACTATCTTTATGTGTATTTCCATTTCCTTAGACAATATTACTATTTAGTAAATCAATGAAATAAATACTTTAAAGGAATTTGATACCTATTTCCAAATTGATTATCAGAAACATTTTTATTATCTACCATCCATAGTAAATGAGGTTGCAGGCTTTCACCACCTTATTCAATATTTGGTAATAATCCATTGCTTGCCTTTTTCAATTTAGTACTGAAAATAGTATGACTCTAAATTTGCATTTTTATTAAAATTAGTTTTTTTTTCATTTTATTATTAGACACATCTTATAAATATTTATTTTCAGGTGGTTGACTTTTAGTTTTTTTTTTTTTAGATTTTACTTTTATATCAAGAAGTTTTAGGTTTCTTAGTCAAATGTTTACCCATTAATCTTTCCCTTTCTATTTCCTTTGAAAATCCTTATTAACCTATTGCAAAATCAAATAAATATGCCCCACATTTTCCAACAATTTTATACTGTTATCTTTTATATTAACCCTGTACTGTATTTGAATATATTTTGCCTTAAGTTATAGGGTAGACAAAAATCTGATTTTTCCAAATTAATAAGTTAATTTGGGACAAGTTGACATGTTTACTGTATTATAGTCCCTTTCAGGAACAAGACATTTCTCTACTTTGCCAAGAATACCTGACATAATTACGTATAAATATCAGGCCCCAAAATAAACTTTAGCTAAAAAAATTTTATATTGCTAAAATACTTAAAACTCATGTAATTCTTATTTTTCTATATCTGAACTATGATTCTATTTCAAGCCACAATTTGTCAGCTGAACATTTGTCATTTTAAGGTTTCTCAATATGCATACTCTTTCTGGCTTACAAGCAAGGCCTTACAGATCCTTGGTTAGCTCTGCCATGAGTTCCAAAAACAAAAACTGACAACTTTGATTTATGTTCTGTTTTGGTATTAATTATCTGAAGTAATGGGCATGGTATATCTTGCTCCTTCCTGGACTGGAGTTGGAGGAGAAGGATCATCAAATAATAGGAATTACCAGGAATATAAAACATTATTAAGATTCACTATTGTAGGATGCCTGGGTGGCTCAGTTGGTTGAGCATCTGCCTTTGGCTTGGGTCATGATCCCAGGGTCCTGAACAGGGAGCCTGTTTCTCCCTCTGCCCTTCCCCCCTGCTCATCTCTTTCTTTCTCTCTCTCTCAAATAAATAAAGAAAATCTTAAAAAAAAAAAGATTCACTATTATATAGTTGCCAATTATTCCATAAGTGGAACTATGATTCAATGCTAGGACAATCAAAATCACACGATATCTGGTAGAAATTAATAAGTCGTTTCTAAAATTGATATGGAAATGCAGAGGGCCAAGTGTAATCAAGATACCTTTGAAGAAGGTAATGTGGGAAGACTTACTCTACCAGGTGTCAAGACTTCATAAAGCAAGGGTTTAAGATCATACAGCATTGGCAAAGGATAGATCCTTAGGGTGCCTAGGTGGCTCAGTTGATTAAGCGTCTGCCTTCGGCTCAGGTCATGATCCCAGAGTCCTAGGATCAAGCCTTGCATCGGGCTCCCTGCTCAGCAGGGAGTCTGCTTCTCCCTCTGACCCACACCCAACTCTTGTGTTCTCTCTCACTCACTCACTCTCTCTCTGAAATAAATAAATAAAATCTTAAAAAAAAAAAGAATAGACACTTAAACTTGTAAAAGAGAACAGAGGGTCTAGCAACAGACCCTTGAATATATATGGACATTTGACTTATTATTAAAGGTAGACTAAAGATCAGTTGGGGAAAAATGGTCTTTTCAATAGACGGTCTAGGTCGATTAGATACCTATAAGCAGAAGAGAATTAAACTTGACTTCTATCCTATTACACAGAAAATTCAACTTTAGATCTAAATGCAAGAGATAAACAACAAATTTTATAATATAACACAAGAGAAATGAAAAAGAAAGTTTTCAAAATAGGACACCAAATAAGCATTAACCATAAAGAGAAATACTAACAATTGGACTACATCAGGGCAGAGATTTTCACAATACATATAACCAACAAATATGCAGAGTGTATAAAGAACTCCTACAAATAAATAAGAAAAAGTAAAACGACTCAGGGAAAAATAGGCAAGGGACTTAAACAGGAACTTCGTAAAAGACCGTCGGCAGAGAACTGAGAACTATATTTAAAGATGTTCCACCTCACTAGACATCATGGAAGTGCAATTTCAAAGCTGCGGTGGGATACCATTGCACACCATAATAGAATGGCTAAATTTTTTTTTTTTTGTAGGCTCCATGTCCAGTGTGGAGCCCAATATGGGGCTTGAACTCACAACCCTGAGATTAAGACCTGAGCTGAAATCGAGAGTTGGATGGGCACCCAGGTGCTCCCAGAATGGCTGAAATTTTAAAAATTGAAAATGCTAAGTTGGGCAAAGGTTAAGGAATGACAGGAACTGATACCCTGGTGATGGCAATGTAAACTGGTACAATGGCTCTAGAAAGCTTTGGCATTTTCTACAAATGTAACATATCACACACCTAACAATTTCACCCTAATGCAAGGGTGTCTGCAGATGCATCAAAAGACATTCATGAGAATATCCATAGCATTGTCTGCAATAGCCAAAAACTGGCAACAGACCAAATGTTCATAAACAGAATGGATAATTATTTTGTGATATATTTATACAATGAAATACCTTACAGAAATGATAATAAATGAACTAAAGCTACACACAACAAAATGGATGAATCTCACAAACCTTATGTTGAGCAAAAGGAACTAAAAGCAACAGAATATGTGCCATATGATTATTTTTACATAAAGTTCAAGAACACATAAAATTATTCGATCAGTCAGAAGAATGGATATCTTTGGACAGGAAGGAAGGGATAGAGAATGATAAGATCTCAAGGGAGCTTCAGGATGCTGGTAATTTTTTGAATTTCTTAACCTGGGTTGTGGTTACATAGGCTTTTTCATTTTGTGATGATTCACAAGTTATACATAATTATTACCTGCTGCTTATTTGTATGATATAGTTCAATAAACTAAGTTTAAAAAGACATCATGTTTGGGCGCCTGGGTGGCTCAGTTGGTTAAGCGACTGCCTTCGGCTCAGGTCATGATCCTGGAGTCCTGGGATCGAGTCCCGCATCGGGCTCCCTGCTTGGCGGGGAGTCTGCTTCTCCCTCTGACCCTCCTCCCTCTCCTGCTCTCTCTCATTCTCTCTGTCTCAAGTAAATAAATAAAATCTTTAAAAAAAAAAAGACATCATGTTTATTATATCAGTGTTATTCCACTACATTTAGCTATCTTTTCTACACATGAATATGTACAAATTATATCAATATAATTTTGGCAAATATACATGAATATGCATCTGTTGATTGATAGACATATATTATTTAATGTGTATGTGAATTTAATTTGGTCTGTATATGACAACACATTCTCTCCCCATGTTTTTATCTTTACATCATTCCCTATTGTATTATGGATGCATTCTCAACTTTTGTTCTTTTCCATGTCATGGACCTTATTTCCTGTGATACCAGCTATCCTCCTACTGCTTTTAATGCTATCATTAGTAATGCTACTGCATCTTTACGTTCCTTGAGGACTTTACTTAATTTATAAACACCCCTCCTTATCTTTTTACTTCCTCCAAGCCAGCTCTTTCTGTTTTCTCTACCATATCATATTTATATATTGTTCCACAAATGCTACATTTGTAAATTCAGTAATGATCCAAAAGCGATGATTTCTGCATTTTTCTTCACACTCCTGAGGAAAATTGTTTCCTCAAATTATTTTCCCCTGTACCTAGAGTGCTATGAATAATTACAGGTTTCAGAATATATTTATAGGCTACTCTTCATACTTGTCATTCATTATTGAAAACACTGTGGTCTAGCCAGTAGTACCAACATTCCTTGCCTTTATAGACTCCCTGATAGACATTACAACCCTTCTAAGATCTTTTTTTTTTTTTTAAGATTTTATTTATTTATTTGAGACAGAGAGAATGAGAGACAGAGAGCATGAGAGGGAGGAGGGTCAGAGGGAGAAGCAGACTCCCTGCCGAGCAGGGAGCCCGATGCGGGACTCAATCCCGGGACTCCAGGATCATGACCTGAGCCGAAGGCAGTCGCTTAACCAACTGAGCCACCCAGGCGCCCCAACCCTTCTAAGATCTTAACCTAGAGCCAAATATTAGTTACACCTTATTATACTTAGTGGATATTCAGTTTTGAGGAAAAATCTCTTGGCACCACTGCCCAGCTTTTATGAAGAACAGCAGAATTTAATCCTGGATAAGATTATCTATTAGTCTTTCTTCTCTTGCTAGAAAGGTGAATGGAAAATTACAACCCACAAAGCAAACTAATTGCATAGGCCTTGGAGTCTTTCTCTTATTCCTGCCTAGCTCATCAATGCTAATCTAAGAGATAGAGTCATTGTTTCTGTTCCCAGCCAAGATGTCCTCTTGTGTCTTGGTGAAGGGATGAGGTGAAAAGAAATTTGATTGATTGATTGATTGATGAGAATAGGGGAGAGGATAGGGATCTGAAATGGTCCTTATTCCTTATAAAGCAGCTCCAAGAGCAGGACAAGCTCCTTTTCCTACTGTCAAAACTTCCTGAATATGCATTTGGTATAGAAAGGTAGAAGGAAGGGGAATACGGTACTCTTTTACTATCTGACTACCTTATGGGCCATGTTCTTTGGTAAGTAGATTTTCTTTCCAAGTCCAACAAATCATCAATCATTATTCTTATTTTCCATTGTTCTTAAAACTTTGCACCTTATTTTTCATGACTATTCAATGGAAAGTGATGATAGAATAAATCAAGCATTTTCTCTATCACCATATTCCAGAAGCATTTTTTTAAGAGGCTTTTTTAAATGTCAACTTAACTTACCTTAGTAAGGAAAGTTCTTTCTCCCCACTTGCCCCATCTCAGTTGAGTCCAGCCATGAGGGTAAAAAAGAGACAGAAGTAGTAGACAGAGCCGAAAAGAAGGTATGGGCAGGAGCTGCTGTCTGACACGTATAGAGGTTAAGTGATTCAGTGGCTCCAGCCACCACTATTGTCCAGGGTCTGTAACTTTTCCTCTCTAAACTTCATCCAGTAGCTTCATGCTTCTATTTCACCTTCAAGGTTTAGTCTCAGGAAGGTCCCAACACAGTTACACTATGGTGTGAAAGAATGAAATCGATCACAATTCTTCCATTTCCCTCTCTCCCTAGTCTTCACTCCTTTGTTTATCTCTAACACAAATATATATATATATATATATTTTTGGGTTTTTTTTACTTAAGAATAATTTTTATATTATATGTCCTCCATTGCTTCCATTAGAATCCACTTTATTATTTCTGGGTAAAAGATGTGAGTAATAATCATGATTTTTTGCCTATAAGGTAATAAATTTTAGAGTGATAATATACTCAGAAAATATAATCCTTTAAATTCCATTCTTACAATTAAAAGATATAAGCCAAATGTCCAATTATTTAAATTTAAGAGGCAATATCTTAGCTACTGAGGGTCTTAACTTGCCAATAGCTGATGAGTAGAAGGCCAAAACCAGCAGGTAAACATTCAGAAATTCTGAATTTGACCACTTACAACCTTCATAAAGGATGTAACCCCTCAAAAGTAAATGTATTTTCCATAGGATCACTGTGACTCTCAATAGAAACATCAGTACAAGGATAATATTAGAGGTATTTATGAATACTAGGCTTTCTTCTGAAGTTTTCAGAAAAAAATCACACCTATTACTTCTATGGCAAAGGAACCCAAGTTACAAACAACCAACTTGAAAATAAAAGTTTTATATTATTTTTTTCCTATTTGCCCATGGGGAGCTGTCTGGCCAGCCTGAGCTTAAAATTTTCTCTGGTGAATTAAAGTTAGAAACCAGCTTATTTTTAAAGCAACCACCATACAAATAAAGGATTGCTTTTTTGTGTGTCTGACTTGATTTTATAGTTGATGGTATACTGGCAGAGAACCAATGCTTTAAACTATGAAGGTAAAACAACTATCCAATTTTACTTACCTCTATAAACAATTCATTTCTCTATTTATTGTCTAAGTTTCTTGAGTTACTATTATGATAATTAGATAATTTTAGTCAATTACAGAATTGCAACACAATTTACATGCAGGCATGGGGATGTTTTTAATTTGAACTAGTTACTGAATAAAGTTTTTAGGTGTCTCTAATATCACAGAGACAAGATACATGACAAATGCAAAATTAATTAAATTTTTCCTTACTAAAGAAGTTGGCACAATTACCAAAATTGCAGTCTGGTCATCTTTTCTTAAAAATACTTGAACATGCATAAGGAAGAGGAAAAGTTCACACATTTCTGAACTGGCAGAAATTCATTTCAATAAAATGAGGAGAGAGAGATATATTCAATCACCAGTGATACCAATGGAATTCTTAAATATTTGGCTTACAATTTTTAAAATTACTGGAATATATTTCAAACATGCACAATAATTTTTAAAATAAATTAATGGGGGCGCCTGGGTGGCTCAGCCGTTAAGCGTCTGCCTTCGGCTCAGGTCATGATCCC